ACCCGAGCGTACGGCGCGTAGAGTTCCGCGCGCGCCTCAAAGAGCCAATAGACCACCACAGATGGGGCCCTATAGGGCTGATGCTCAGCCGGGGTTGCGGGGTAAGCGCAATGAGGCACCGCGACCTCGGCCCAGAGCAGGTGAAGGAACAGGGGGGTTTAGTCAGTAAGAGTCTGACACTATGGGCGGGAGAAACCATTCGATGATTTTCCCCTCGCAAAAAAAAAATAAGGCTGCTTCTTGTCATATTGGAGAGGTGCGAGAGGTTCGAAACTTGGAAAGCACTAATGTGACTTTTTCTTAGTTTATGTTTTTTTCTATGTGATAGGTTGTCAAACGAGCCAACCGATTAACTGAATGTAAGCAATCAGCGACGCCTATGGACACCCGCAACGACGCGTGACGGAGGAGTTACGAGTGCGTTGCCGACCTTTCGGGGATTAGGGATTTGGAGATTTTGGGAATGAGAAGGGATTGGGGGAGGGGAAAGATTGGGTCTCCGGTAATCTACCTAACTCACACGGCGAAATACAACGTTGTGGTTGTTTCAAGCCGATTTTTTGTGAGGCCATGGTATCACTCCGGTCGAGCCAACCTATTCGTGTCGAAGCATGGCACTCCAACATTGAAATGTAAGTACATAATTAAATATTTATAACATACATTGACTTAACTACATAATGGTTGGTGCGGCAGCTAGTCATCCGGCTGCCGTGCAACATGTGACAAGTTCGTTTCCCGCACGGAACAACTTTTTGTACGATCCACAAATTGTTCTTCCGGATCTGGGTGTCATGAGTATATGTGAATTTATGTTTGTAAACGCACCAAGAAGCGGAACAGCGTTTTTTCTATGAAGATTTTTTCTACAAATGAAACTTATAATATATGCATATTTATAATAACTTATATGTATGTGTGGTGTATACATATAAATAAATAAAATAAAAAAATGTATAAGTAGGTACCTACCTATATATATTTTTAAATGTTTCTTGTGTTTGCTTTGGAACGACTTTAGCACCACAAAATAATTATTATATTCATAATCAAAGATTTACGTCTAAGAGTGAAACAGTTCAGAATCTTGGTAAGGTCTAAAGAGACCACCCAACCGGGACTGTTTGGTAGCTAGTGACGTAATTCGCGTTATCACAGCCCCGCGCTGATAAGCACATTAATCCCGGAGCTTTCCCTTTCCCGGACTTGAAGTGTTTGTCTATGGCGAGCACCTCACACGTTGTAGTTTTAATTTTAAATCCTTGGACTGTGGAATTTTCGGATTTTGTTGTCCAGATTGTATTAGGTCGTTGATCGTGTTGCAGTAAGCGCGTCTAAGAATTATTTTTATTTATTTATTAGCTGACCAGCCCCGGCTTCGCTCGAATCCAATGCTAAATTTATTGTTTTTTTTATGTATATCTATACTAATATTATAAAGAGGTTTTGCAAGTTTGTATGTAGGGAGTAATCTTTGGAACCGCTGGTCGGATTTCCAAAATTCTTTCACTGATAGATACATACCTACAATGTTTCTGAGTGCTATAGGCTATTAAACATCACGCTACGAGTAAATAGAGCCGAGCAGCGGGTGAAACCGCGCTAGAGCAGAAAATTTAAAAATATTTTGAAGTTATAGAACAGCTCTACCAGTTTCGAGTCAAGACGGGTCTCTTATATCCAGCGGAGACCGTCGCCGGAGCCTGTATTCGCCGAAGGGTGAATAACCTAGGCATCTTCAAAATTTTTGTAAATAAGTACTATGGTACCTAGGTCGCAACATCGCTTACCATCAGGCGAGATTGTAGCCAAATGCTAGCCTATATAATCATAGCATGGATAAGGGATTTGGTGATTTAGGGATTGGGCAGGAATAAGGTGAGGGGAGCTACAAACATACAAACTTACAAATACGTCTTTATAATATTGGTATAGATTAATTTCTATGTTTATTTTGTTTTCTAACCATTGTTTAATTTTTTCCTGTTTTTTTTTTAGAAATTTGCAACATCTATTTCCAAAAGATACATAGGCGTTGTATATTAACGTGTAAGCGTACATACATAAAGAAATTAGTTACCTATTTCTTTAGTCGATACTAATGGTATAATTAGTTTGTTCGTGTGTTTGCTTGCGCACGCCAAGCTCCGGAACTACTGTTTCAAATTGAATAAAATAATAATTTTTGTCTTGGATAATACATTTATCGAGGAATACTATAAAATATTACGCTACGATTATTAAGAGGTGAACAGCGGGTAAACGTAGTAGTAGGTGATCTATACGTTGGAATAAAAATAATTTATTTTATATTTAATTATTTTCATTAATTGAAAATAACTGTATACTTACGTCAACTAAATGAGAAAAACTTTGTTAGTTCAGATGTCTGCGCTTCGTAGCGCTGCGCCGCGCATTCTACTGATCTATTAGTCCCGCTGTAACTTGAAAATAGAAGAGCATTCCCAGTTAGTTTACGTGAGTAAGCCGTATATTTCCAATTAAGTTATGATATCATTCGATTTGTGTGTCTCATAGAAAAGTCTCAAAGAAAGAAAAAAAAGAAAATATAACGATGATCTGTATTTCTTTAAGGTAGTCTAAGTGATAAGCTGATATTCTCATAACACTTAATGGCATGATCACGTAAGTACGTAGTTAAGTTTCCACAAAAAAATTGAAAAACAGACTTAAGTTTTAGTGTTTTTAATTAAGGGCGACCCTTAGTCTGAAGTCTAAAACTTAGGTGTATTTTTCTCAATCGTAACAAGTGTGGAAAAGCCATGCCTTGACACGAATGGGTCGATTTCGACTGGATAACACCATGGCCTCATAGAAAACCAGCGTGAAACAACCGCAGCATTGTATAACGCCGTGTGAGTGAGGTTACCGGAGTTTCTTATTTCCCCTTCCCTTTCCAATCCTTAAATCACCAAAATCCCTTATGCCCAAAGGCCTGCAACCTATTTGCAACATATTTGGTCTTGAGGATGTCCATGAACGGCGTCAATTGCTTACCTTCGGGTAATTCGCACGTTTGCCACCGCATCACATAAAAAAAAACATACCACTTACCTTATATTATTACCTTATATATTTTGACACATTTTGATTATTAAAATATTGTCGACGTACAAGACACTTTTAATAATTTTTGGGACAAGTCAAACCCCTCACGTCCTTTAAGCAAGGACGTATAGTAGATACACACTAATAAAAAACCTCGAATAACTGAAATCCAGCACTTACCAGGTAAGTACATTAGACTGTCTTGCATCCCGCATCGCAACGTAAATCAGATGATATTATTTAAAAAGAAAAAAATACTAAATGGTTTCCAACTTATTCAATGAATTTAATCTATTTTAGACAGAATGACTTAGGCTTTAAAAACAAAAAAGAGACTGTACAACTGGGAAAAGATTGACCAAGGAGTTCTTACTAAAAAGAATTAATGGGTCCTATGTATGAACTGTTATACTTTTTCCGTGTGTATACGAACTTAATGGGTACTTTAACTACTCCTTAGTAACGATAAAGTTTCCAAAACAATTGTTAAAGACTTGTTTAAGTTACCATTAAATGTCTTTGAGTACCTACAGCGGATAAACACATTATTAGTGAAGCCGATGGCAGTAGCTTTTTACTTTTTTGTGAAGGCAATTTTTGAAAAAAATATTTGCTAAAGTTAGATAATAGTCAGGTATGTAGAGCTTAGAAGTATTTTTTTAAGTTTATTGGGAACTACCAAATAAGTAGCATTTAAATGTTTTGAAATTATTATAAGTAGATAATTATGATAAAAGTGAATGTTTCTAGAAAGTGTTTTGTATTTACTTTGTGTAATTTAAGCACTCATTTACTTAATGCCCAAGGTTATCCTAGTCCAGATGTACAAACAGCGACGGCGGACCACATGCCTAAAGACAATGAAGAAAACAAAAACATTATAATTCACATTATTTATATTTCTTCCTTAAAAATATGATGTTACGTTACACAAAATAGCTACAGTTTATTATAACATTTAGATACATTTGTGGCCCTTTTTCAAACCAATCCATTGCTTTTTTAAAGAATAATTGCAATCATTATACAATTGGCTTTAAAAATGGTCGAAGACGACATTAATTTTGTAGATAAAAACTGCTAAAAGTTAAGAAAAAGAAAAATCAGAAAAGTATAAAAAATGCTGGTATGAAATACTGTCAAAGATTTAAACATGGAATTCAATTTTGATACCAGTATGGATAAAAAACTTGATTGTTGAAAAAAAATAAGAAAAATATTTTTGAATTTAGATTTAAAAAATCTTTTTTATTAGCAATGAATCAGCATTTTTCGTGTTTTTTTTTAATACGTAAACATTGCGCCATTATTCTTTTCACCATCACCGCAATTTTAATGTCGACTGAAGATCGTTTATTACAATAGTAATGATAATATTTACATTAAGACTTAGATAATACTTACATTTTACAACTTGACACTACTTTGTACATAGAATGACTAGACTTATTTATAGATCACTATCTCTTCGACTTAAATATAAAAAAAACTTTTCAGTTACTTATTATTTTTACTGTACATTTTGTTTTCTTTTTTTAAATAATGTAGATAAATGTTACAACGGTCTATTGTCATTGGTTTATTTTTGTTTTTTTAAAAAGAAAACAGTTGTTAATTATGGTTTTCAAACCTTGTTTTCTTTTTAATACATTTTTGTCACAATAAAACCTTGTTTTCTTTTTAATACATTTTTGTCACAATAAGGTTTTTTAAAACGAAAAACAGAATGAAAACTTTAAAATAAATTAATGGAGTTTTAAATATTCCCCACCATTTACAGTTAAATTAAGTAAGTATAATAATTTGAAACTCAACAAAATAAATCTGAATCATAAGCAGTTAAAAAATTTTAGTTGAATATCTTAAAATTATTTATGAAATGGGTAACTGCACAATTCTTATTGTTAACTGGAAACAACGCACACATTTCGCGGCAAATTGCCAAATTAAAAATTAATCATTTGTATCGTTCCAAGTAATTTACCTAATTTTATACAATTGTTTAGCGTATATCACTTTACGAACACCTCAATCTTATCGGAAACACATCAGTCAATCGGCGAGGATCACGTGTCCGACGGGACGAATTAAAACGGGGATGGACTGGAACCGTACCCGTTTAGGTACATTCATCTGGCCCAGTCGTCCGGCGGACAATTGGTCTGGTGTAGCGGCGAGAACGCGCTCCGCCTCGGCTCCGAGTTCATTGAACTGTCCTGGGAGCCGATAATGGATTCAATGGAGAATCCGTTTCGGGACCTCTTACTTCGTGGTTCCGTGGTGTCGGCGACGCGCGGCGGCAGCGGCACGGGCCGCAGCGTGGCCGGCGGCGGCCGCGGCAGCGACAGCAGCGGCGTCGGCGGCAGGTAGCACGGCAGCGGCAGCAGCGGCGCGTACGCCTCGCGCGCCAGCATCGCCACCACCGCGTGCGCGTGCTGCAGCGACGGAGCCGGCCGCTTGTACCGCTTCCTCCGCCTCAGGAAACTCCCATTATCAAACATATCTTCCGCTAGAGGATCCAGCGTCCAATAATTCCCCTTCCCAGGATTCCCAGGCTCCCTCGGGATTTTTATAAAACAATCATTCAGACTCAAATTGTGCCTAATGGAGTTCTGCCAGGCGGGAAACTTTTCTCTGTAGTAGGGAAACCTCGTCATGATGAACTCACAGATCCCACTTAGCGTTAGTTTCTTGTGCGGCGACTGGAGGATCGCCATGGTGATGAGCGCGATGTAGGAGTAAGGCGGCTTGATGAGTTGTGATGAGGACTTCTGCTTGGGCTTTTTCGGCGTGGATGGTTTAGACTCTGTGGGGCTGGAGGCGTCGTACCGCTCCGAGTCGCTGGAGGCCGGCGGCGCCTCCGGCGTGTCCTCGTCCACGGAGACGTAGGTGTCGTCCTGCGGGTAGTCGGGGTCGCGGTCGTCGCGCAGGTAGTGCGGCAGGTACAGCCGCGGCGGCGGTCGCAGGTCCAGCGGCAGTTCGCCCTCGATGATCATATCGCGGTATTGGGCAAGATCACAATCTTCCATGCTTTCGGTCACATGTCAGAGGTGCGCTGTGTCGCGTGTCGCGGCGCGGACTGCGACTTCGCCCCCGTGTGCGGAGGCTCTGCCCCCGAGGACTCCGCCCACGGGCGCACCCCGCGCCGCCCCGCCCCGGCCCGCGTTTACGTTCCACTAAACACAACAATTGTCGTTATTATTACTGCGGGTCGGAGCTTTGTGCATGAATTTCAGGCCGTCGACTAATAATTATTAGGCCGCTTCGCCTCTATCGATTCCACTTTGTTGTGCTATTTATTTTTAGTTCAGTTAAACGGTTGTTGTAGTTTCGATTATTTTATTTTATTTTATCGTCAGGTTATCGATTTGATGCGCGTCTTTAAATAATCATTTGTTGGTACGTATTGATCGACTGATTGAGTTTTCCTTAAGTTGGCTTTTTTTATTTCATGGCTTCAACGCCATATTAGAATTTCAATTTAAATACTTTATATAATAAAAGAAATGTTAACTACATTCATCCTATCCCTAGAAATCCTTAACAAATTAACCTTTTAAACATTTCCATAAACAAAAGACAGAAGTTCTCAAAGCATTCAAATACAAACAGAATCCCACACGTCACAAATAAAACAGTTTACAAAGACATCCTCATCCCGTAATCCTTTAAAAGAGTCGCGTATTGAAAAAAAATCTCATAAAACGAATTCTAGTAGTCCATTCAGGTAGATATCTTCAAATAAAAGTTGCGTAAAAAATATTCGTGAAAGCAGCATGACAATGCGAGCGCGGTACTAGAAAACCCTCGTATATGTTTCCTACCATAACATTTACCCCTCGGGCGTTGAGGGAAAAGCTACACGGGGAAACGGGACGGAAGACACTGATAACCGAGATGGAGATAAAAGTAGACCAATCAGGACCGAGATTCCGCTGGGCGGAGCTCCCAAAAGCTAACATGTCAGGGCGTGGCATTAGATCCTATTATTGTCTGGCAAGGCAAATAATATTTTGCACAATGTACACACTGGGGTAAGGGGGTGTTCAAGGGGGGTTGCTAATTTATTCCCAACTTCGGTTAAGGCTTGTTTTTCAGCTTTGCGAGCCTGTTATTTAAATTGGACTCGGTCGGTTATTTGTATGTACCCGTCTGAAGGCATTGTTGGCTTTAATGAACGAATTTTCCCGGGATTCCGTTGTACTGAATTTGTGATACAAAGTTAGGATTTTGGTGAATATTTTTGCTTACTTGTGTTCAGCGCTTTTCGTTATAAATGTTATTTATTTTGTCGCGGCTTTCGAATTGTCGGTGGTCGGACGTAGTTTTATTTATGTATAGTAGATAAAGCTAAATATTGACGGCATACCTTTTAATATTGGTTGCTTTTGTGTTCGTATTTAGAGACTAAAATTTTATTACATTTTTAATCTTTTGTTTGAATATTCAGAGGGGAGATTTGTACAGTAACATATAGATATAAAATAACAAGAAAAAAACATAAATGTTTAGTTAATATATAGGTAGGTATCTATTATTTTTGTGTGTTATGTTGCTTCCGTCCGTACGTCACTTTAAGGTTGCCGACTGAAAACCAGTGTTGGGTTCTCATTGAGCCCAACTTATACTGAGATAGCAATTTTTTTGGCATTGGCATGCTGCCATCTTATCATGTATGTTGTTTAATTAAGTAGGTACTTCTTTTTAAATATTTTATGATTTGTTTTAGGTTGTAACTTAACATTGTTGCAATTATGTTTGAAACTTACTTATCTTCTTTTAGTTGACTTTTTTTTCTCATGATGTATTTTGCCTACATAGGTATTTTGGCGCTTTGTGTGGCACGTCTGGTACGAAATAAATCCCTTTCTTTCATCCTTTTTGTCTTGTGTTTTTCTTTTCATGAGTTGAGTGATTAATCAGCTTTTCGACTTTAACATTCAAACTTGAACCAATCCTAAATTACTAATTACTATGAATGATAATATGAATTATGATCTAATTAAGTTCTAAGGGTTTAAATGTTTTTATCCATTTGGGCTTATTGATTTTTTCTATTATTTAAGTACGTATACGACATTATACAGATAATTCTGAGGTTATATCTGTCCGAAACCCAAAAGTTTTAAGATCTATCTGACTGCACGATTGCGGTGGCGGGGCAACTGGCTGCCGCGCATCGTGTCGCGGGTTTGATACCCGCACGGAACAACTCCTTGTGTGATCCACCGATTGTTGTTCCGGGTCTAGGTGTTGTGTGTATGTGAAATTATATGTTTGTTAATGCGCCCAAGACACAGGAGAAAATGTCCTAACGTCAACATTAAAAAAAAACTGTTTCTCTTTTCCCTGTAACTCATTTCTCTCTCTTCTATAACCTTTCTCTCACACTCCATCCATTCCATCTTCTATGTTCCATTGTCTTCCTTTCCATCTATTCACATTTTTAAATTCCCTAGATATGAAGTCACGTAGGTATGGATGCTCACTTGCTTAATAATTTTGTAGTTTACATGAATTTGAACTTGAAACGAAGAAGACTTTGTAAACCTGAGCAAAGAAACCAGTGACAGGTTTGGTGATCAAGATAAAATTGGCCGAGATTAACTACAAAGGTTCCTAACTAGAAAAAGGTTCCTAACTTGAATTGAAGTTACATTGTCCTAAAATAGTTATTGTAAGCAACCCAAGTTTCGAACCCTGAGAAGCCTCAGGGTTCGAAACCTGGCAAGTACCAATGTGACTTTTTCCGAGTTATGTGTACTTTCTATAGGTACCTAATTTTTTTGAACACCCCTGATATACGGTGAAGGAAAACATCTTGAGGAAACCTGGACTTATGGTTTCTAATGATAAGTTAGAAGTCGCCAACCCGTATTAAGCAAGCGTTGTGATTAATGCTCTAATCTTCTCCATATGAGAAGAGGCCTTTGCTCAGCAGTAAGCACTTATAGGCTGATGATGATAATGCTGCGAAGCATAAGTGAACTTACTTAGAGTTACAAATTGCAAACCCACTAAAAAACCTAAAATCTTTTCCATTAAAATTATTGGCACCTATAAGTAGTGCCAATAATGGAAAACATTTTTCACCCACAAATGCTTATAGCACCTATTTTTTTGTGTTATAGATAAATTATCTATACCTACCTACTTAAAGGTAACCCAAAAATGCAAAAGCAAAAGTGCAGATAACTCCTTCTTTTTTATATCAAATTTGCTTATTCGTTCGTAAGTCATTATTAAATAAATTTATTGAAAACATCGACTTATTCACGTATACGTAATAATTGAGAACAGTCCTACTAATTTCAAGTAACAGCGGGACTCTTATTCAAGAGCTAAGTGCGCATCACGACGACGACGAGGAGGGACTTCGAAGAGCTTCTCTTAGTTAACTCACGTTATTTTTTTTTATTTAAACTTTTACACAAACATTTAAGTGTGGGAGAGCCATGCTTCGGCACGAATGGGTCGGCTCGACCGGAGTGATACCACGGCCTCACAGAAAGCCGGCGTAAAATAACCAAAGAGTTGTGTTTCGCCTTGTGATTGAAGTTATCGGAGGCCCAATCCTTCCCCTACCCCAAACCGTTTCCTTTCCCAAAATCTCCAAATCCCTAATCCCCAAAAGGTCGACAACGCACTCGTCGTTGCGGGTGTCCATGGGCGACGCTGATTGCTTACCATCAGGTAATACGTTGGCTCGTTTGCCGACCTATCACACAAAAAAAAACATTTGTGTACAAGGTAGACTTAATGCCATAGACATTCTCTGCCAGTCATATACCAGATACCATAAATTTATTAAATATCACGATAATTATAAATCTACTATTCAAAAATAAGTCATTGTTTCCTAAAAACCTACACCTCCTATCCAAATTTGTAACAACTATGTGGGGGTATAAATGTGGGAGAGCCATGCGTTGGGTTACGCCAGCCATACAAATGGGTTGGCTCGACCGGAGTGATACCACGGCCTCACATAAAACCGGCGTGAAACAACCACAGCGTTGTGTTTCGCCGTGTGAATGAGGTTACCGGAGGCCCAATCCTTCCCCTCCCCCATTCCCTCCTCAATCCCTAAATCCCTAATCCCTAAAAGGTCGGCAACGCATTCGTAACTCCTCCGTTGCGGGTGTCCATGGGCGGCGCTGATTGTTTACCATCAGGTAATCCGTCGGCTCGTTTGACGACCTATCACATTAAAAAAAAAAAAAACTAACACATAAGATCTTGCTCAACTATTCAACAAAGTAAATATGGCTTGTAGTAGGCTGGTAGCAGAGCTAGTAATCCATCTTTGGCTGACGTTGGAGAGTAAACATTTTAATATCTACCGAAGATAGGGCTTACCTCGGCTTACCTGGATCTTGCTGGCTGGATTAAGGACAGGCTCAGACGTGCAAACTTTGTTCAGCTTAAGACCTAACATTTACTAGGAGTGTGTCTTTTGAGATAGGATTTGTATGCACCTACTTACATAGTGAATGTAAAGGGGGTATGTGAATTATCTTATTGGCATTGAGCAGCCGATTTATTAAGTCATACTTGTTACTACTCGTCACGCGCTTACAAAGAACCTTTTGCCGGCAGCTCAGTGTTCTTTCCCGTTTCTTCTCCTACTCTCGGATGATTTTTAGTCAGTAATATAATATTATGATATGATGGTTTTAACACTCGTTCGCCTCGCCAGACCTGGGCGATAGAAGTAGGTAATTTGATGATTTTGTCCTCTCAAAAAAGCGTGATATTTTACAGGTTTGCTCGATAAATTCATTATCGATTACAAATTGTTTTTTTTTTTAAACCTTTCGGTTTAATTTGTTAAGTTATTAAAATATTAGGTTTCCTTATTAAATGTCTTGTTGGTTCAAAAAGGATTTATTGTAGAGATTACCTACCTACTGCAAAAAGTGGTTTAAAAATTGAATTTTCATAATTGCCGTTAAGTATACCTACAGCTCGTTTGCATCCGAATCATAAGTATGAAAAAAATTACGAATATCTACCAACTATCCGCTGGTGTAATTTAAGTAAGTAGATTAAAATGTTGTATCAAACAGTTTCTATCAATTTGTTACTGTAACTATCCACAAACATACAGACAGACCTGATGACATCAAACCTGATGGTAAGTAGGTAATCGGCGCCGCCCATGGACACTTGCAATACCAAAGGAGTAACAAGTGCGTGGCCGGCCTCTTCTGGGGTATTGGGGACTTAAGGATAGATTTGAGATATGTGGATGGTAACCTCACTCACACGGCGTAACACAACTTAAGTACGTGTTGCTTCACGTCTGTATTCTGTGAGGCCGTGGTACTCCGATCGAGCCGGCCCATTCGTGCCGAAGCATGAATCTCCCACACCCATACGGTGTATGCTCTACTTGCTATAAGAGCCAACTCAAGAGCCGTAAGAGCTACCTACTACTGATATCCATTTAAACTGAGTTTTCTGACCCGCCTTTTAAGAATAGAAATGTCATTATGCCATACCTTTCTTACGTAGGCAGAGCACGCTAGTACTTATTCCAACAATGTAAGATGTTTGTTGATGTTGCTGTTGATATTTTTGAGACTCCTACTGTTACCTACATAATGTTAATATCTCTATCATATCGAACGCTAAAGTAATCTCTTTATAGGCTACTAGCTACTCTCGCGGTTTCACCCGCTGCTCAGCTCCATTTGATCGTAGCATAATGTTTTATAGCCTATAGCACTCAGGAACATTATAGCTATCTATCAGTGAAAGAACTTTGGCAATCCGACCAGCGGTTCCAAAGATTACCCCTTACATACAAACTTACAAATTTTACCTATTTATAATATTTGTATAGATAACTGATACAACTGACATTAATATTCCAGATAATTTGGAAAACATACTCAATTACTAGTAGCGCCCTCTCTGTAAAGCACTACTAACTAACCTTTTTAGTTTTAACGCCATCTATTGGCATTTGTGGAAACGTAGTAGATGTGGCCTACGTACGATCAGAACTTAGATGTCGGTATAATAGTTTTAAAGAAATATAATAGATGGCGCGTTTCCGCGTTACCGTAATTAAGGAAGAAAGAAAATATATAAAAATTAAATAATCACTGTTAATTATTATTATTGTAATTACTTATAATAATTAATTGTTGTTATAAGTGTGGAAGAGCCATGCTTTGGTACAAATAGGTCGGCTCGACCGAAGTGATACCACGGCCTCACAGAAAACCGGCGTGAAACAGCGTTGTGTTTCGCCGTGTGTCACTCACACGGTTACCGGAGGCCCAAACCTTCTTCTCCCCAATCCCTGAACCAACCAAATCCCTTATCCGTAAATGGTTGGCAACGCGCTAGTAACTCCTCTGTTGTTGCGGGTGTCTATGATTGCTTACCTACTATCAGGTAATCCATCAGCTCGCTTGCCGACATATCACATAAGAAAAAAACAATTAATGTTTTTTTTTCTAAAATAATACTAATTCTTTATATTTCATGCAATTGCGTTTTTTTTGGTCGTTAAGCATTTAATTTATTGTAATGTTCTAATTACCCACTTTCTTAATAGGTATTTAAGCAGTACAGAAATAATTTTACGCTCGTTAGTAGTTAGTAGTCGTAAGTACTTATCTACACCAGTAATTAAACATGGGGTTCACCATGTGTGAAAGTATTGCGCATTGTGGAATGTAAAAATAATAGATAGGTACCTAGGTCCTGTTTTTGAGATAGGCGATTAAATAGAATTTATCTTTTAATTTAGTAAGCACAATACTTAATAATGATTATTACTATTGATTTCAATGATGTATATATAATAGGTCATTGATTGATTTAACATATAGGTACTTATCAATAATATATCATTATGAAGTGTGCTGTTTTATAGGCCACTAGCTTCCCTCGCGCGGTTTCACCCGCTGCTCCAGGCCGAGACGCGTAGAATCAGTACCTAAGAGTCTAAGACTTCCTCTCGCCCTGGGCGAGAGAAATCATTTGAGGATTTTCCATCCTCAAACACACCCCGTAACTTCTCCTTTTCCTTCTCAAGGCCGAGGCCGCGGTGCCTTATTGCATTGGAGCAGGTGTTTTCAGAAACACCCCCGTTCCTTCTCTTCCTCTAACTTTATTACACTATCGTGCTTGCAATTAAAATTTCACATCATTATCTATACTAATATGTATTATAAAGAGGTAGTAATCTTTGGAACTACTGGTCGGATTGCCAAAATTGTTTCACTAATACATAGTTACAATACAATGTTCCTGAGTGCTATAGGCTGTAACACATCACACTACGGTCAAATGGAGCTGAACAGCGGGTGTAACCGCGCGAGATTAGCTAGATTTATATACCAATAATCGCCACACGGTAACAATCATTTCCAAAATAGGTGTTGTTTAATGAGATCGGCCGAAATGGTTACATTATACGTCACAGGAGTCTTAATTGAATCCTTTACCTGAACAGGGGAACCATGGGCATTTTTTGTTTGTGTGTGTGTGTGTTTTTTTTAAGGGTGATAATCATCTAAAAGTCACCCTGTTCCTTCTCCTGCTGCAGGCCGGGGCTTTGGAACATTGTTGCGCAATGATCAATTGTTAGCCATTAGCCGTAATCTGGTACATGCTTCAGACCTCAACTTTGGGCGGTTCATTGAGTCCAAGGCCGGGGTAGTTGCTAGAAAACTCGGCATCCTTGCAAAAGTCCGACGGTACTTCACACCGAGTCAGCTTCTAATGTTGTATAAAGCACAGGTCCGATCGTGTGTGGAGTACTGTAGCCACATATGGGCTGGTGCTGCGAAATGCCACCTAGCGGCTTTGGATTCAGTGGAAAGGCGTGCAAAAAGGCTGATTGGTGATCCAGATTTGGTTGGGTCCAATCTTCAAAGTCTCGAGCACAGGCGCAGAGTAGCCAGCCTTGCGGTGTTCTACAGGATGCATTTTGGAGAGTGTGGTCAGGAATTGCACGATTTGATCCCGCCATCCCCATTTCATCTTCGGACATCCCGGCGTACAGTAAATTTCTACCCTTACGTTGTTGAGACACCTGCGGCCCAGACTAAGCGTTTTGCCTCATCATTTATACCGCGTAGGTACATCAAGGGATTAGAACGGTTTGCCGGCTGCAGTCTTTCCGTCCAAATATAATTAAGATGTCTTCAAGGCTAGAGTGATAGGCTCTTAATATACTAGTGCGCCTTACCATCAATGATTGCATCACTGCTTACCATCAGGTGGGATCGCAGTCAAGCACTAGTTTATATCAAGTAAAAAGTTAAAAAAAGCTATATGTACATCCTGCAGAACAGTCAGTAGAGCTAAATCCTTATTACCTCGTACGATGAAACTCTTAAACAGATACCTGGATGTAAAACTAGAGAGTGATGTCTTATTGAGCGAAAGAAGACTATTTTGGAATATTTAGGAATGGACACACCAACAATATTGTATTTCATTTTGCGATCTTGTTAAAAATTATTTTCGTTTTTTTTTACATATTACTTTCCATTTTCTTCTCTCTCTCAAAGAAAACAACATAATAATAATTATGCTAAAGTATTTATACTTATGAATAAATGAATTAAATACAATTTAATATCTAATTACTTACATATTATGTACATAATATGCTTGTTAACATCTTTACATATTCGTAGGTACATGCTTTACAAAATTAAGTTTTAACACGCTAAAAATAAGAATGATTTTAAGTATTGGTGCCTATCGTGATACCTGATACTCGTGCTTTGCCATCTAAGTATGTAATGCTTTTAAATTTTATTCGTAGTTCAGTACTAGGTAATAAAATAACTTGAACAGCAATAAATTTGTAGGCAAAAACTTTCTAGGAATTTAAATATTGTTATGTATAAAAAGGTAACTGCGGTACTTATTTTTAACCGACTTCCAAAAAGGAGGATGGATGGTTCTCAATTCGACCGCATACATATATGTTTGTTCGCCGATATCTCCGTTATTTATAAACCGATTTAGAATTTTTTTTTAAGTTGGAAAGGAGATAGTCCCAGAATGGTCCCATGATAAGGAAATCAGTTGCTGATGATGGAAGAAAATATCTATCCTGTGGATACTTGCAAAATCGAAGGTTTTTCGGGGTTTGGGATTTGAGAATTGGTGGTATGGGGAGGAATGGACCTCCGATAATCTTACTCACGAGGCGAAGTATGTAACTTTGATTCATATTTGTGTTCCGTGAAGCCGAGGTAGGTATCACCCCTACTAGGGTTGAACCAGCCTATCTGAAGCTTGGCTCTCCCACACTTAGTAAGTATGTAAATCAAGCATAACTTCTGTTTTTCAACCTCTATACGGAACGCTTTCATTCAACGAAAAAATGTAGGTAAGTATAATAAAGAAAGTATGTACCTAAGTAAGTATAATTAGGTACAATACCGCCGACGTATCTTG